CTGAGAAGAGGGGATGTGAGGACAGAAGGAGTGGGAGGTGGGATGTCAGTGTGATCCCAGGGAGGAAACGGGAGTGAGGTGGGCAGGGATGGGTGTGGATACGAGTGGGAAGGTGATGGGGGAAAGCAGGAAACTTGGGAATGATTTTCGGTGACTTTTTCTTCCGAAGTCTGACTTTTTTAAAAACGAAAGTCTTTATGTCCTGCTTTAGACCGACGTTCAGGGTTGCTACCCCTTCCTCTACGCCTCCAAAGGAGTCTTAAGACCCACGTCACAGGAAGGTGTGCTCATTAAACTCTCTTGAATATCCTGCTGTCACAGCCCTGATAAAGACTTGTTCCTGGATACCCGAGCCACCCGGAGACCTCTCTCCTATGCGCGTTATCAGTGGGAACATGCGAAGGGAGCGAAGAAAGGTGGTGAGAGGCCGAGTCCTGGTTACAAACAAAGAAGCTGGACAGCATTTGTGTGCACACGGCGGGTGGAGGGTCGGCTGGGGCTGCCAGATGAGGAGGCCGGTGGGAGCCTTCTGCTGGGGGAGAACACGTCTCGGGTGCCGTCTTTTCACGTGGGCCTCCTCTGGTTTTGAGGCTGGAGGGTTGGAGATCATCACGGCCCAGGGGGTAGGGGCCGTGGCGGTAGCGACATTTGCTCCCCGCAAGGCTGTCAGCAACACAGCTGTTGCCCGGTGTTTGCTTCGCGGGCATGGAGTGGAGAAGCATAGGAGTAAGTCTGAAGTTCGGAGTTGGAAGTAGATACGCTTTCTCCTGAGCATCACCGAGCTGCCGAGCTTAACAAGCGAGCGTGCTCTCCCGGAGTTAGGGTAACACATGACTGCCACAGCACGCTGGGGAAACACAGAAGGAAGAAATGGGAGCACCCATCGCCTGATGATGGCTGTTCAACTTTTGACATGGTTTTTACACTCGCTTTTCATTTTTTTTGTACAGTTCTAATCCAGCCAGATATACAATTATTTATCAAGCTTTTCTGATCTAATGTTATAAACATTTCTCCATTAAACTATGAACTTTGATATCATGTATCGCCCGGCTGGCGTGGCTCAGTAGTTGAGTGTCGACCTATGAAGCAGGAGGTCACGTTTCAATTCCCGGTCAGGGCACATGCCCAGGTTGTGGGCTGGATCCCCAGTAGGGGGTGTGCAGGAGGCAGCCGATCCATGATCCTCTCTCATCATTGATGTTTCTCTCTCCCTCTCCCTTCCTCTTTGAAATCAATAAAAATATACATATATTTTTAAATGTCATGTTTCAAGCAAAACCTTTCCACCAGACTTTAGCTGGAGGAGAGGCAGCTGCTGGGGTGGGAGGCAGTAGGGTGGTCACATTCCAGGCCCATATCTTGAGCCCTTTTAGGAACAGGTGAGCACTGGGGGTGGGGTGAGGCCAGTGCTGGCCCCGAGGAAATCCATCCATTTCCCGCTGGCCTGATTTCGAGAGCACCGGACCCATCCAAGAGGGGCTGGAAACTTAGAAAGCCCCGGCCTCCCGGAGGCTCCTGCCAGCCCTGGGACCAGTTAGCGGGAAGAGGCCTGGGCCTGCCGCAGGCGTGGGCGTGAGGCCGCTTGGGCCGCTCCACTGCTTCATGCAGAGAAGGGAGGACCTGAGAGGCTGCCATTTCCCCATCTGGGGTGATGGGCTCCCAAGTGACTCAAGCTCATTTAGTGACTCTCGCGGGCTATTTATAGCCTCTACAGGCTAAGTAATCAGATGGTGGGAATTATAAGTAGCTCGCTGGCTCCAGGTTTAGGGGTGTTTTTTTGTGTGTGAGTGTGTTTTTTGCATATAAGTTTGTTAGTTAGTTAGTTAGTTAGTTAGTTATTATAGGTTGATGTATGTGATCTCAGAGAAGGATCATAGAATCGGGGAAGGTGCTTCTTGCAGAGCCGTTTACTGCCCAGCCCGGGCATTACCTGCTCACTGTCTCGCAGACATGAACAAATAGCTTGTTTCCTCGCAGGGAAACGTGCTGTCGTTCAGAAGAGGGAGAGTTGTGTTTTGATTTTTGTTTTTATATTTTTATTTTTTTTAATATATTTTATTGATTTTTTTACAGAGAGGAAGGGAGAGAGATAGAGAATTAGAAACATTGATGAGAGAGAAATATTGATCAGCCGCCTCCTGCACATCTCCCACAGGGGATGTGCCCGCAACCCAGGGACATGCCCTTGACCGGAATCGAACCCGGGACCCCTCAGTCCGCAGGCCGACGCTCTATCCACTGAGCCAAACCGGTTTTGGCTGATTTTTGTTTTTAATCCTTACCCCAGGATAGTTTTTCATTGATGAGAGAGAGAGAGGGGAGGGGGGGGAAACATTGATGTGAGAAACATCCATCGGTTGCCTCTCACACACATCCCGACCAGGGATCGAATCCACAACCTGGGCATGTGCCCTGACCAGGAATCGAACCCATGACCCTTCAGTGCATGAGCTGACGCTCTAGCCATTGAGCCACACCATCCAGGGCAGAAGAGAGTTGTTTGCTTCTCTGAGTAAAGTGCTTGAGTGTGGCACAAAAACACCCACCGTAACAACAAAACAGTTGAATCATTTACCTTCAGTGTGAGTTTATTGCAGTAGTTTTCTCTCTATTTGGCCTTTTTCTTCTTCTTAATCTTAACCTACGTTGTTTCAAGGTTGTCTTCAGCATGACACACGGAGAAAGCACACACTTCGGGAACAGGCCCACTTGGGTTCGAGTCCCGGCACACGCAATTACTGGTTGGGTTTTCTCGGCGCCGATACGGAAGCAATGACCCTATCTCCTAGGGTAGCTGGGAGGACTATAGGAGGTGCCGGTCGTAAAGGAATGGAATTTAGACGGCTGGTCCTCGGTAAGCAGTGGTCAGTATCGCTTCCCACCACTGCTGCTAGCTCGGACTCTGGGTCCAGTGGCCTCATCTGGCCTGGCGTGTGGGGCCTGAAAGGGTACCTGGGACCGGCGCTCAGAGACTCACAGGAGGATAAAACAGCCAGCTTTCCCAGGGATTGATGGTTCTGAAGCTCATCATTTAGTGAATAAGGGTCTTAAATGCACACTGACTGGGCCATTTGCCCAAACGCAGGCTAGAGACCCATCCATGCCTATAGAGTTGCTGGCAAAACAGCTTTCCCGTCCTTTTTCAGAAATTCCGTGCGAACACACTTGCTTTTGCTACCAGCAAGCGAGTAAGTACCCCAAGACTTTTAGCAAAGGTTTTGCAACCTCTTGAGGGGGAAGGTGCTATACGCTTCCCTCAAGTGTTCAAAAATAGGATTCGTGCCAGAATTGTTTTTTTGGGAGAGAGAAACTCCAACAGTGATCGCGTGGACTTACATCATTTCCCACATTGATGATTTTTCCCTTTAACCCTGAGCATGTCCCTTTGCCTGCAGCTCTTCCCAGAGCACTGCTGACCCACCCCGATGGGGTATGTGGGGGGACAGTCCTGGCTGCGTTCCCAGACAAAGGCCCCCCGCCCTCCAAGTCGTCCGTTTCCTCCCCGAGGCGTTTTTCCTCTGTGCTAATGTGTGCCTTCTATTGCTGGTGTGGGGCCGCTTGTCTGCACCCAGGATAACAGAAAAGCTCCATCACTCCCTCCGGAGCATTGGTCCAGGCCCGGCCAGGGCCCAAAACCCACCCCGGCCAGCCCTGCTCGGGCCAGGGCACGTGGTCTCTGTCCCAGGTTTCCTGCGGCGTGTGTTTTAAGCGTAATGGAAGCCGTCAGCCCTGAGCTGTGTGAGTCCAGGCTCCGGTCGGTTTCCCATCAGAGTTGAGGAAGGGGCTCCTTCGTGTTATTCCTTAACCCATGAAATGAGTCGTTTCCATGGTGAGCAGGAGTAGTGAAGACCCTAATTGCAAAGTGACTCTGGGTCCCCCTCCTAGAGAAACGCTGCTCAGAGCCGTAAGGGCCTTTGTTTGGAAGGAGTGCTTGGTGCAGGGTCCGGAGACGTGCTCTGCGGGCCCAGCAGTGCAGATGGTGCCTGACCCCAAGCGCGGGTCACGTCATGAGCAAGCAGCCCCCGCTGGGCTGAGGCCCGAGGAATTCTGTCCACCGAGCAGCTGGCCTTCTAGGATTCACAAGCCGAATAACAATCCCTGAGCGTAACTTCCTGGGCCCCTCGTCCCTTTGTCCTGAGTAGGTCTCCCGGGCCTGGGGCCGGAGGCGGGGTGGGGTGGGGGCCGTGCACATCGGCGTTTGCACGGGGCATCCCGGCTGCGAGTGCGTGCTGCCCTGGGCCACAGCGTGCTGTTTTCTCTCCCCAGCTTCCCATTGCAACGTCAGCTTGAAGAAGCAGAGGCACCGCAGCATCCTCAGCTCCTTCTTCTGCTGCTTCCGGGACTACAATGTGGAGGCCCCGCCCGCCAGCAGCCCCAGTGCGCTGCCGCCGCTGGTGGAGGAGAACGGCGGGCTGCCCAAGGTCAGTGCTGCGGGACCGTGCACCCCACCAAACCGCGGGGCTGCCTGTCCGTCACATCCTGGACAGACGTCCTTCCTAAGAGCCTAGCGGGTGCAGGTGTAGCCATTTACTTAAAGATTCCAAGTTACCAAACACGTCGTCTCTTTTGTTAAAGGATAGCTCAGTCGTTCCCATGTAGCAGCTGAAGAGTGTATTTGAAGAGAGCTGTAAGCGTCAGTGCACAGTTTTATAACATTCTTGGTTGAATGTATGAATGGAGAGTTAAAGGACGATGAGCAGACAGAGAAATGGAAAGACAAGAGGAGAAACCGAGTCATGGGAAAGAGCCGAGAATAAATATATAAGTGGATTTCATTACCTTGTTTAATAACAAACATAGTTGTTAAATATTCTTTTATAGGTAGCACATAAACAATTGTAAGCCGATTGTCACCGTAGGTAAAAAAACAAACAACAAAAAAAAAAAACAGATTCTCCCCACATGCTGTCTACAGACATATTCAAAACAGAGTAACTCAGAATAATGAAAAGTAAAAGGATGAGCCAAAAAAAAAAAAATCCCACACGTATAAGCAAAATGAAAACAGGTTACAGTATCAATTCAGTCAAAAGAGAAGTTCGGGGTAAAAATCACTGAGGGAGGCAAAGGGGATTGCTCATGATGAAGATAGTCAAGCCTGAGGGCACAGAAGTCTTCAACCTTTATGCCCCAAATCACATGAGCAAAGAACATGAACAGATATGTTACCAAATAAGTAATACTGTTGGTCAATAAGCAAAATATGTTTCAATATGGCCAGTAATCAAAGAAATACAAGTTAAATGAGATCCTTTTCCATTGTCAAAGATATTTTTAAAGATAATATTTGGGTTTGGTGAAGGTGTGAGAAGAGGGTGGGTAGAGGATATACATTGGTTACTGGTAGGAGGTGTTCATTGGTTACACCTTTCTGGGGGGAAATTTGGGGTCTGATCTTAAAAACCTTAAAGATATGCCTGTGTGTTCCCCTAGGCAGCTCCAGCTTATGGACATAATGGTAGATGTGTAAAGAGCACAAGATATGATCCAGAACACATTATAATATTGCAACATTGTAAGCAACCTCTAATGGTCAACAGTAGACAATGAAAGATCTATAAGTAACCATACAATCAAATAGTATACAGCTATTAAAAAATGACGTCTCATAAATATTACTGATACAGGGAAATGTTCACAATATATCACTTCAGAAAAAAGGCTAAAATATAGTAGGTGACTGTATTTATAGCTATGTACCCAGTCATACATACGCACACAAAGGCATTTATAAGACTAGAATGGTATATGCCAACATGTGAAAAAGTTCTCTCAGTCTGGTGGGATTACGAATAGGATTTGCTCCTCTCTTCTGTGTTTTATTTCTTTTCTTTTTTTTTCTTTTCCCAGTTCTCACAGAATAAGCTTAAATTAATTTTGTGATTAGAAAATGTATTGTTTTTTAAATGCATGTGAATGTAAGGAAGGGGATTCTGGGAAGATGACAGCCAGAGCTCATGGCTCTGGCCTTTTAAATTCCCTGTTTGAATAAACCCAGGCGAGCCTACACTAAGGCCTGGGAAGTGCATTAACGCCTCCAGTTTTCCTGACATCTCCAGCGGAAAGAGCAGGCATGGGACTCATTCTCTCTGGTACTCAGTGAGAAGCAGGGACCACCAACAGGGGAAATTGCTCACCTCTTTTGGAGTCCTAGAACAACGACATAAAATGTATAGTCCTGTGAGGTCAGCCACCCAGCAGGAGCCTGGGGGCCCACTGTGTGTGTGCAATCCTCGAAGGGGCTGTACTGATGAGCTGAATTGCTCGCACTTCTTGTGCCCTGGATGAGCCCCGTGGTGCAGGGTCTTTCTTCATCTCTCTGAGGTTTGTCAGTTTGGGCTTTGCTGGAGCATGGAAGCGTCAGTCCTTGCTGGGCCTTGGGGTGCTCCCTCATTTGCCACTGCTGAGAAAGTCCAGGTTGAAAAATTGGACTGTGAGACTCCTACGGAGGCAAAACTAATGGACGAAATAGAAGAGAACTTTAACAGAGACTCAGGAAATGACATTTCAGGGACTGAATCTTAAGTGCAACAGTAACTTTTAGAACTTAAAAAACATCCCATGATTTCTAAATATAAAAACTCAGTAAACAAACCGAGAAAAAAGGGAGAATGAGAATGGTCACTGCTGAGAACTGAATTAATGTTCTGGGAGAGCAAATGGAAGAAATGTCTTACAATTCAGACCAGAAACATGGAGATGGTAATTGGGGGAGGCTGGAGGGGCCATCTAGGAGACCCAGCGTGCAAATAATAGGACTTGCAGAAAGAGAAAAAGTAATAGAAGAAATTTTTCTTGAACTGAAAATAATTTTAATTTGCAGATTAAAAGGGTACCAAATCTACAGGAGGGTTAGTGGGGGCAAGCGAGGGAACACAGGCCTAGATACATGCTAGACTTCTCAGCAACACTGAAAGCCACAGACTATGAGAAGTGTTTATAAGCTACCGAGAGAAAAGAATTATAAACCAAAAATTCTATATGTGGTCAAGATTATCATCTATGAAGGAAAAAGATATACATTTCAGCCATACAATGATTCAGAGAGGGGATCAAAACAGATCTGGGTGAGATTGGTGTTATTACAATACTAGAGGCCTGGTGCACGGATTCGTGCACCAGTAGGGTCCCTTGACCTCCTGTGCCCTCTCCAGTCTGGGACCCCTCTGGGAATTACAATACTAGAGGCCTGGTGTGATCCCCACAGGCTCAATCCAGACAGGAGGGAGCCCGATCCTGTGCGTTGAGCGTCTGTCTCCTGGTGGTCAGTGCTTGTCATAGCAACTGGTCAACCAATCGTTGGGTCGTTTGGTCGCTCAGGCTTTTATACATAAAGATAATTATAGAAAATGTAGGAATAAATGGAACTATTGGGAACAGAACTGATATAACAAGTAGCACAATTAGAAAACAGATCCTCAAAGTTCACTGAGAGTGAAAGGAGAAATAAACAGAAATGTGAACAAGCCATCAAAATTAAGGAAAGGGAAAAGGAAAGGAACCAGTAATGTAACAAATAGTAAACCTGACGTAAGGAGTAGGTATAAAACCAAGTTTAACAAACCGAATTCTCCTGATGACAGACCAAGACTATATCAGATGGGCTTTGAAAAATTCTGCAGTGTGTTTCCAAGAAGATACCTATATCAGATGGGAATGATTTTGGCAGCACGTAAAAGAAAACTGACAAATAATAGCTTAGACAGATAGGGGACCGTTTTTGTCAGATAAGAAGCCTGAGGCTGGTCCCTGCTCCGGTTAGTGTAAGTGCCTGCTGAGGCCATCAGGGGCCCTCACTCTGTCTGTCCTTTTGTCTTTTCGTCTTTCTGCTCCACCGTCCTTGGCATGATTGCCTTTACCCTCCTGCTTGTTGCTCATTATCTCAGAGCACGAGCTTCAGCCATCATGTCCACCTTGAGAGGGAAAGCAGAGGGAGGAGTAGTCCAGCCATGTCTGTCCCTTTTATGGAAAGTAACAGCTTTCACAGAAAAGCCCAGGAGACTTCTGCTAGGTCTGATGGGCCAGAATGTTGTCATGTGGCTACCCTCCAAGAGAGGCCCAAAAGGGGAGAATTTAGACCAGCAAAAAGAATTTATTTTTTAATATATTTTTATTGATTTCAGAGAAGAAGGGAGAGGGAGAGAGAGAGAAAGAAGCATCAATGATAGGAGAGAATCATTGATGGGCTGCCTCCTGCACACCCACTACTGTGGATCGAACTTGCAACCGGGGCATGTGCTCTTGACCAGAATCGAACCTGGAACCCTTCAGTCTGCAGGCCAGTGCTCTGTCCACTGAGCCAAACCGGCTGGGGCCCAGCAAAAAGAATTTAGACAAACAAAATTGGAGCTCTTTTCACAAAAGAGAAAAAAGGAGTGACTACCGAGTAGATATACTTACTAGTCAGTGAGGGTTCAGTTATGCTGCAGTAACATCCCCCCAAACCCCAGAGGCTTAAAATAATAAAAAAATTATTTTTTCTCTCATTCTTCATGTTTATTATGGAATAGCTGGGCCTTCTGCTCTGTGGCACAATTCAGTCAAAATATGATGTGAGCCACATATAATTTAAATTTGTCTAGTATCCCCATTTTAAAAAATTATATATACATATCTATAATAATAAAAGCATAATATGCTAATTAGACCGGACAGCCGAACGACCTTCCGGATGAAGCCAGGGCTGCGAGGGCCCAGCCCCTTGCACAAATTTCGTGCATTGGCCTCTAGTATATACATATAAATTGATTTCAGAGAGAGGAAGGGAGGGGGAGAGAGGGATAGAAACATCAGTGATGAGAGAGAATCATTGATTGGCTGTCTCCTTCACGCCCCTTACTGGGCATCGAGCCCGCTACCTAGGCATGTGCCCTGACCGGGAATCAAACCATGACCTCCTGGTTCACAGGTCAACGCTCAACCACTGAGCCACATCAGCCAGGCCAAAATATTTTTAAGGTAAATTAAATTTTTTAAGGTTCTGTTTCTTTTTTATTTTATTTTTTAATATATTTTTTATTAATTTCAGAGATGAAGGGAGAAAGAGAGAGAGCTAGAAACATCAATGATGAGAGAGAATCATTGATTGGCTGCCTCCTGCATGTCCCGTACTGGGGATCGAGCCCTAAGCCCGGGCATGTACTTGACCCGAATCAAACTTGGGGACCTTTCAGTCTGCAGGCCGATGCTCTATCCACTGAGCCACGCCGGCTAGGGCTAAGTTGTCAAAATATAATTGTAACATGTAATTAATAGAAAAAATTATCAATGAGACAAAATTTACATTTCTTTATCTTATAGTCCTTCAAAATCTGGTGCACTTGACATTTATAGCACATCTTGATTTGAACCAGCCACATTTTACGTGCTCGATAGCCTCCCGTGACTAATAACTATCATTATTGGATTATATTACGCTATCTGATCCTCAGTCATGGACCTAGGCGGAGGCAGGCCCATCTCTGCTTCCACGATTGCCGCAGCAGGGAAAAGGGAGGATGGTGTTCACACTGGCTCTTGCAGTTTTCACTCAGAAGTAACATGCCTCGTTCCTACAGGTTAAACACCGAACTAAGGCAATAATGTGGTGGCTAAGAATGTGGGCCTTAGCTTGTGTCCTCGCCATACCGATTCCTACTCATGTGACCTTAAGCCCATTACTGTAACTATAAAACAAGATATAATGTTTGTTATGTCATTATTTTCTTTAAAAGGTAGTAACATGCCTCATTTCAGCTTACATTTTATTGGCCAAAACACATATATAATTACTTATTGTTTTGTGATTAATCACTATGCTTTAATTATGTTCAATTTGTAACAATGAAATTGGGGGTCACCACAACATGAGGAACTTTATTAAAGGTTCGCGGCATTAGGAAGGTTGAGAACCACTGGTGTAGAAAAATGTATGCGTGAAATTTGAGCAATGACATTCCACTGTAAACCGTATCACAGCCCCAGGTTCTGATAGCATCTCCCCGGACTCTTCCCTCCCCCCAATTTAAAAATTATTTCTGTAGAAAATTGTCCTTAGTGAAGGGAACATAGTTTGTACCCTAGACCTATAGAGGGGGAAAAAAGAAAAGAAAGAAAAAGGAATCACTGCTGTCATAGTAAAAGTTATTTTAGGATAGTTCCTGCCCAGATGCAATGACCTGGGAAGATGGTGCTGCATCCCCGAAGGTTTCCTACAGTATTCGGCTGTGCGTATCCATGAGGAGAGACCTTTAAAGGCAGGTCTCTGGCACAGCTGAGCTCCCCTGGACTTGGTGTTCATTCGCGGGCTTCCCTCAGTTTCCATTTGTCCGAATGGCTTTTTAAAGAATGACATTAACTCTGAGCAATGCATCATTGGCATAACACTCGAGTTTTCCGGAGGAGACCAGGCCCATAGAAAGAGCCCGGGTTAGAGTGGGACCAGCTCATTCCCAGAGCGGGGGCCCTCTGCCCTTTGCTCTCCGCACGGTCCAGACACCTGGAACGCACAGCCCGGGCCCAGGAGATGTGGAAGCAGATTCTAGGCCTGTCTCCCCTGCTGACTCCTTAACTGCCCCTGCCTCGTGGAACTGAGCCTGCCAGAGGCAGAGGGGAGCTGTGGACAGAGCGCAGCAAGCAGATGGCCTCTGTGGAGAAATGCTTTGGTGGGAGTGGCCTGGGGTGGCAGCCATTGTCACATCCAGTTACACCCTGGACCTGCAGGCCTGTGGCCCAAAGGTAGTGTCTGCAGCCCCTGGCCAGAGGCTAGGATGGGTCAGCACCCAGAATAAGACCAAGGGCAGAGACCAAGGAGGACTTCTCAGGGTGAGGACAAAGTGAGCAAGGTTTCTGGACACTCACTAATACGTGCATACCCCATGTGCGCGTACACACACACGCACACACACACACACGCACACATGCACACATGCACACACACACACGCACACACGTAAACTTCTGGGGTGATTTTCAAGCCCAGACGTCTGTCTAGAGTAGCACCTTTGGTCATAGCCTGTGTTTTGTCAAGCCCTTCAGAGTTACCTTTCTTCATCGATGTGCTCCCCTCATGGAAGGGGTGCCTGTGTGGGGAGCTGTGCACAGTCTCCCTCTGGTGCAGGGTCTCAGTGGCGGTGGTTTTGCCCCCTGGGGGACATTTGGCAATGTCTGGGGACATGTTTGACGGTCACTCCTGGAGGTCCTACTGGTATCTAGTGGGTAGAGGCCAGGGATGCTGTTAAGCATCCACAACATCCAAGACAGCCCCCCAGGCAGAGTTCTCAGGCCCAGATGTCAGCAGTGCTGGGGTTGAGAAACCCTGCTCCAGGCTCACCTAGCCTGTGAGGGCTTGTGAGCAGCCGGTTCCAATCGCCCCAGTCCAGCTGCTGGAAATAGTACGATTTAAGAGCTGCTGAAATGACCTTCTCTATATCGGTTCTTGCAAACTGGGATTTGCTTCGATGGCGCCCACTGGGTGTTGAAGAGCAGCACAGCTCTGCTTTGAATAATGGCAAGAGGCCATTTCGAATCCTTAAGACGAGCCCCGAGTGTCCTGAAGCAGGAAAGAGCCATCAAGATGCTCTCAAGAAGAAACGGTAGTCAGTCGCTGTTAGACTGCAGAGGGGACGACTAGGGTCTGGAGACAATCAGGAAGTTGCTAAGTGGTTCTGAGAGTCAGAGCAGAGCTCAGGAAGGTGCCAGCCACCTGCCACTGTCGACAGTCAGGTTTGGCCCCTTCCCGTGACACCCCTGCCACCAGACCCCCCCCTTCATAAAAGATGGTTACGCTTTTCACAAAGCGCTCGGTGTGTGTGAGACCATGAAACGGAGCACGCCCTTATCGGACCCCCGCTGCTGCTATCTGTTGCCTCCTATCCCACCATCTAAAAAAGAAGCACAAAATGTGAAATAGCTCAATGGAGATAAATTTCTTCTTTTATCAGCATTTCTTAATGATGCCAAAATGAAGTGTTTCCATCAACCATGTGTGGAATGGGGGAGGGGCATTCACGGCTGAGAAAATGATTGAGGCTCTTCCTCGGGGCCTGCATTTTCTTTTTCTTTACCATGTTTTTATTGATTTTTAGAGAGAGAGGACCGGAGAGGGAGAAGGAAGAGAGAGAGAGAAACATCCATGTGGTGTGAGAGCAGAACATGGGTCAGCTGCCTCCTGCACACCCCCCACACGCCCCCTACTGGGCATCCAGTCCACAGCCCGGGCATGTGCCCTGACAGGAACCAGCAACCTGTTTGTTGGTTCAGGGGTTGACACTCAACCACTGAGCCACAGCAGCTAGGCCAGGGCCTGGATTTCCTTGACACCCCCTGAGAACACAGGTCCTGTCCCCTTAAAGGGAAAGCTGTCCCCTGCCTGTGGCCTCAGAGGGCACTTCTTGTACCTCGCCTTGACCTCCTGCCCGGTCCGCCCTAGAAGAGGATCAAGAGTGGCCAGGGCGTTCCTTGTAACCTGATGAACTTGTCTTCCTTTCCTGCCCACTGAAGGTTTAGGCTTCTCAGGGAAAAACTTAACTTAAAAGAAGAAACAAGCCAGTTATTAGAGGGAGTCATGGATCAAAGTAGTGTATGGGTTTTCATTTTTAAATTTCAGTTAAGGATTAAATTTCTGGGAGTACGAGAGGCACTATTCAAATAAACAAGATGAGTAATGAGCCTCGGGAACCCAACCTGGACTGTCAGGGGAGGGGGTGTCTGGGAGGCAGAGACCCTAACTGTGGAAATCGTTGGGTTCCTCCCTCGCGCTAAATACCGCCAAGGTACCAAGGATGGGAAGTCATGTGCCTGCTGTACACTCAGAAGTGCTTTCGGGTTTCTTTTGAGTATATGTTCTACTTCTCTGCAAACCTGACAATGACTTTGTTTTTTTCTTTTTCCTCAGGGTGACCAGAGGCAGGTCATTCCCATACCAAGTGTATGTATTATTTATTCAATTTTATTTAAACATTCGTAGAGTCTTGCAGCTGTGGGCCTACTTGTATAAAATGTTCTTGCTTATGTTGCGTTTTATCATGTCGTATAGCCAACTCTGTTCTGTTAAAAAGTGAAATGAGGCTACATTTTTTAAAATGTTTTCATTGATTTTTAGAGAGAGAGAATGGGAGAGGGAGAGAGAGATAGAAACAATGATGAGAAAGAAACATCTATTGGCTGCCTCCTACACACCCCCCACTGGGGACCGAGGCCGCAACCCAGGCATGTGCCCTTACCAGGAATTGAACTGTGACCTCCTGGTTCATAGGTCAACACTCAACCACACCAGCTGGGCCACAAATTGATATTTTAATCCAAAAAATTCTCTTCTTCAAATCGTCTGATTCAAACTGATTCTCTATTTTTCCTTGGACTTTTTTAAAAAAAAAATATATATATATATATATTATTGATTTTTTACAGCAAGGAAGGGAGAGGGTTAGAGAGTTAGAAACATTGATGAGAGAGGAACATCGATCAGCTGCCTCCTGCACACCCCTCACTGAGGATATGCCCGCAACCAAGGTATATGCCCTTGACTGGAATCGAACCCGGGACCCTTCGGTCCGCAGGCCGGCGCTCTATCCACTGAGCCAAACCGGTCAGGGCTCCTTGGACTTTTTTATCTATTTTCTGGGACCATCCAAGAGACATAGCAGTCCTACATTTGAAAGGAATAGATTTCATTAGCACAGGCTGACTCCACACCTGGCATTGCATGTCACTTACAAATTGCCCAAGAAGTGTCTGATAATTTCATTTTTCTCAGAACTTTAACTCTCCATGTATTAACAAGCTGCAGGGGTTTGTGGAGTGGTTCAGGCTTTGCCAGCGTACCTGGGGGTTGGGCTTTGTTGGGTAAACTGATCAAAACGTTTGGTCAGGCAGCACGACTTCTTCTCCAACATTGAGTAGGATTCAGATCTGATCATCCATCTTTCCGTGGATTTTTTCCGCATATTTTCAGTCCCCAGTGCGATTCAGAGCCTCCATACCCAGTAGGGTCATGGACTGTGTTCTTCCTGCACAGGCTCCTACATTACGCAGGTGACAGGGGCACCTGTCCCCCTCCCTTAGACACTCCAGTGCGCTCTTCCTCCTCAAAGCTCACTCACTGTTGTCTGTAAAGCTAGCACTGGTCGGGGTGAAAACTACTGAGAAAGATGACCCTCTACCCACAGATCGAGACTCATTCTGGAATCCTGGAATGAAAAAGCCAAGAGGGAAAAGATTCCTTGTGTAACGGAGCCCCGTGCAGGGTCACTAACCTGCTGGCTGCCTCTGACATCTGCGCACTGGGGCCGGCGTTAGGGACCTGCAAGCTGTTGTGCAGAAAACCGAAGCCTCGCTCGAGGAACTTGCTCCTTTGAGTGATAACCTCCAGAAAAGCAGTTCTACTGAGGGGCACATGTGGTCTCTCCACAGCCTGCGTTATACGCAGAACCGAGCCACGTCCATCTGAAGGCCAGCTCAGCCCGGGGATTCGGGCCTGAGGCTCCCCTGCAAAACCTGCACCCACCTGTCAGGGCCGCAGGCGGCACACACCCAGAGTAGCTCTTCTGAAACACAGGGGGACCTGGTCGGTCCTGGGAGCCCCTGAGAGCTTGGGGTGCTGCGCCACAGGCCCGGAAAGCCAGGCGTGGACTGAGCCCACCAAGCAGGTCCCACAGCCTCCTGAAAGCTTTTTCCAGGCCCTGAGCATGGAAGATACACCCGAGTAGTTCCAGCAGGGGTCCCCCGTCTCAGCTTCTCGCCCCCCTTTTTTCATTCTCAGGCTTTTCTGTGTCTGTGTGCAGGTTTGGCGTTCTGACTTTTCACAAAGCAATAAATGCAAGCTCGTGGTTTAAAAAAAATTCTGCCCAGCTGGCGTGGCTCGGTGGTTAAGCGTCAACCTATGAACCAGGAAGTCACCGTTCGATTCCCGGTCAGGGCACAGGCCCAGGTTGTAGGCTCGATCCCCAGTAGGGGGCGTGCAGGGGGCAGCCAATCAATCATTCTCTCTCATCATTGATGTTTCTCCCTCTCTCCCTCTCCCTTCCTCTCTCTGAAATTAATAAAATCATATTTTTTTAAAAAAGAAGAATGAAAGCAACTATAGAGTCAACTATTCATGACTGCAAGTTCACCAGGACAGGAAGTTTCAGGTCGACTCCAAGGGAATTCCCAAACTATTGATGACAAGTCACGGTCCCTTCCTCCTCCCTATACTACCACGTGCTTCCTGTCCCACCACCACTACCACCACCCATCCTCACCCCCTTTCATCCCCCTGGCAATACTCCTCTTGATAGAACTGGTGTTTCTCTTGTTCAGCTTTATGTTGGCCCGAGAGAAAATTTCCTTCAGTACATTTTTTTAGTTAATGATTCAGGCATCACCTGAACAGATCAATTGAAGCAACAAAGCACTATTGCCTGTATGCAGTGTCCTTGCCTTCTCCAAGGACACAGCTGTCCGCAGGAATTCTGACCTGTGGTCTGGAGGGTTTGCATGCACCTGAAGCCGCACTCCCAGAGGAGCTGTGTGCCCTTGGGAGACGGGCTAAGGATTGATGGGATCCCCCAGCCCGTTGCCCCCCGCCCCTGCCAGGCCTTGTTCTCTGCAAGATGCTAAGTCAGCCCTAATCGGTTTGGCTCAGTAGATAGAGCGCCGGCCTGCGGACTGAAGGGTCCCAGGTTCGATTCCAGTCAAGGGCATGTACCTTGGTTGCAGCACATTCCCAGTAAGGGTTGTGCAGGAGGCATCTGATCGATGTTTCTCTCCCATCAGTGTTTCTAACTCTATCCCTCTCCCTTCCTCTCTGTAAAAAATCAATAAAATATATATATATATTTTTTTTTAAAAAGATGCTAAGTCAATAGCTTGCTTAACACCCTCTCACTCTTTTCCCTCAGAGCAGTGATGGGAGGCCCTTCCCTTACTGTGAACTCAGAGAATGCTTGTCAGGTGTGGGTTCAATATGCTAAGAAAGTAATTTTTATTCTTGGGTTTGGAAAATAACTGATCCCCTTTTGGCAGGTCTTGGGTGTTTTCAGATATGCCAGGGATAGAATGTCTAGATTCTTACTTTCCCGGCTGGCTCTCAGTTACATAAATTAAAATGCTGTTTTAGGGCTTAACTGCATAGAGAAAAGTCTGGACAGATAGACACCAAGCTAAAAAGGGAGACATCTGGGGAAAGGGTTTCGGGGGCGGGAAGAGCATGGAAAAGAGAATAGTTGTGTTTTCATGTCTCTATATTTTTTAATTTTTTTAATATGTGTTTATTGATTTTTAGAGAGAAAGGAAGGGAGAAGGATAGAGAGATAGGACCATCGATGAGAGAAACATCATCAATCGGGTGCCTTCTGCATGCCCCCTACTGGGGATCAAGCCCACAACCCGGGCATGTGCCCTGACCAAGAATCGAAGGTGACCTCTTGAGTCACACCAGCTGGGCCATGCCTATATTCTTTACATCATTGTATAATAAGAAATTAAAACCAATTATATTCTAGTCACAAGCATGTTTTCTGTTATTGCTCAAACAGAAATAACCCAAATCCTTATGTTCACTTGTAGAGTTTATCATACCCTGCCTTTTCAAAGCGCTTTTCAATAGAAAACATCTTGCAAGTGTATGTTAATTTCACCAATAACCTGCCTGCCTGCTGGTTTATAATGACACAGTCCTTCCTGGGACCCTGAGTCCCATGGCCCAGGTCTAGGCACGCCTGTTCCCAGTGCTGCCAGGTTAGGAATAGTGCTTGGTGAATAGGGAGGCCATAAAGGCGTTTTCTTCTGGGTGAGGTTGGGAAGGATGGAGCCTCCACACGCACTAGAGAGAGCCCCGCTAGAATGAGAAATGCCCGTGTCCCCACACGTAGCCTCGTCCTGGTCAGCCCCCCCAGCACCTTCCTGCCAGAATGCTCATCCCACTTGCCGATGCACCAGATGACGCCTCTGCTACCTTCCCCTCTGAACCGGCTGAAGTCCAAATTTAACTCCCGGTCCTTGACTAAGGTTCCATTTAGAACAAAGACAAACAAAGCCATTTAAAAAGGAATTCATCTTAACTTCACTTTTCTCGTTTTATTTGATAAACTAAACTGTTCCTTCTTCAGTGGCTAGGGACAGATATTTCCCTGTGTTTTGTTGAGTATTAGTAAACATTGAACAGAGCTTGACCTTCTCCCAGCTCAGAGAATTAGCTTGTTAACATTGGATACTGGCTATGCCACAAAGTAAACCAAAATACTTCAGATCATTTCTGGAAACGAAGGAAGGCCCAAAGAAAGAAATACTCTGAATCCAGAATGAGTTTGTCTGAAGATATCTAGCATTTTATTAATTCTTTATGACCTTTTTATCACACGGTTAGAGTCAGCTACTACGAAGACATAGAAATCGATTTTCTGGTTCACACGCACCATGTGGGTGAAAGCAGAGAGGTACAAATGCCACATTCACTCACTGTTACACCGCTGTGGGGCAGGCACTAGGCAGGGCGCTGGATCTGGACCGTTTTATTTCTGTTTCCTATGACCGGGGGTTACTTTGGATTGCATTTTGCTGGTGGGTCTATAGTTTCCCTTCAAGTTTATGAAAATTTCAATCACTAAAAAAAAAAAAAATACTGTGGTTCCAGTATAGCTCTGAAATATGCTTATCTACCATGGTGAATCTCGGACAAAATGTGAGTCCAAGGAAATGAGCCTGCATAGAGTCGCTGTTATAATTAAACATTCATTTCTGTGTAGTTCATTTTAACAATAACCATAACCATTATACATGTGTCAGGCAAATGCGGGCATTTGCTGCAATTATAGCTGATAACCACAACCTTTTGTGATAGGTATTATTGTCCCAGCTTACAGCCAAGAGACATAGCTGAGAGTCAAACCCAGGTTTATCTGGTTCCCAAGTCTCGGCCATTCAGACAATGGCACAGAATTTGGTAAAACTTCAGTTGCAAACTATAAAATTCCATGATACATTTGACCAGGCATCAAAATGTTTGGTTTCAGAAAATTAACATATAGGGGGAAAAACAACTATGGTACATCTACACAATGGAATACTATGCTGCTGTAAAAAAGAAGGAATTCTTACCATTTGCAACAGCATGGATGGGACTGGAGAGCATTATGCTACACGAAATAAGCCAGTCAGAGAAAGATAAATGTCACATGATTTCACTCATTTGCACAATATAATGAACATCATAAACTGATTAACAAAAATAGAACCAGATCGCCAAAACCGGTCTGGCTCAGTGGATAGAGCGTCGGCCTGCGGACTGAGAGGTCCCAGGTTCGATTCGGGTCAAGGGCATGTACCTGGGTTGCGGGCACATCCCCAGTGGGAGATGTGCAGGAGGCAGCTGATCGATGTTTCTAACTCTCTATCTCTCTCCCTTCCTCTCTGTAAAAAATCAATAAAACATATTTAAAAAAAAAATAGAACCAGAGTTATAGAAGCATTGAACAGACTGTCCAACTTATGAGGGAAGGCGGGGGATAGGGGGTAAGAGATCAACCAAAGGACTTGTTTGCATGCATAGGAGCATAACCAATGGATACAGACAATGGGGGAGGGGGGTGAGGGCATGTGCTGGGGGCTGGGGACGGCCGGGAGAGGCCAATGGGGGGGAGGGGAGACTTGTATAATACTTTAAACAATAAAGAATTTAAAATAAATAAATGTTCGGTTTCCTTTTTAACCTCACTAACATAGTACAATATGGTAATAAGAGGATGGGTGTGTCTTTTACATCAAGGTAATAAGAATTTCTTTTTTCTTTAGCCGCCAGCTAAATACCTCCTGCCCGAGGTGACGGTGCTCGACTATGGAAAGAAGTGTGTGGTCATTGATTTAGATGAGACGTTGGTGCACAGTTCATTCAAGGTGAGTCCGCGTAAAGACCGTCCGCGGTCTCTGGGCTTTGGGTGCCATCGGGTGGAAACATACGGTGGTTAGTGTGTGGCTCCATGTTCATGAAGAAATCCCAGTAACAGTTGCTCATTAACTCAGGTGAACAGTAACTCGGAGTTGAATATTAACATCATGGGTTTGGCAGGGGGATGCTGGGCTGCCAGGAGCCCTGAGGCCCATTCCCAGGTATGAGGTGGGACTTTCCAGCAATTTCACCCTCAGAAGTGCTTCGCAGGAGGCACCAGGCCGGCGGTGCTCTGATGCCCCGGGACACTGCGGTGTCTTTGTCAGGGTAACCAGAGGGCCGGCCATATGTGTTACCGGGAGGGGCGGGGGCGGGCACGGTCCTAGCAACCTGCTCTCCTGGAAGTTTTCCCAGACCCGTGTTTGAAAGATGTCCAATACCTAAGACGGCTTCCAGAGCAACGGCATCTGAACAGATTCCGCCGTTTATCTTGGCCATTTTCATCACAGGAGGTTGCTAGGGATTTGAGAAGCTTCGCAGCTAAATGAGTATCCACCTGCTAAATGGCTTTTCCCCTGAAGGGTTCGGGGCTTCTGTGATGTCAAGGTGAGCATCAGATAGCCTACAATTTTAAAAAATATGTTTTTTATTGATTTGAGAGAGGGAGAGAGAGGTAGAAACATCAAATGATGAGAAAGAATCACTAATCTGCTGCTTCCTGCACACTCCACATTGGGGATCGAGCCTGCAACCCAGGCATGTGCCCTGACCGGGAACTGAACTGTGACCTCCTGGTTCAAAGGCCGATGCTCCACCACTGAGCCACACTGGCCTGGCAGGTAGTCTACATCTTATCACCTCCCTCACTCCCCAAGTCCCCGTCAGAATAAGAGCAAAACTTAATTACAAATTACCAGAGGACCTCCATGCGGGAGCAGCTGTAATTACACTGTTGAGAAATGAGCTCATTAACCATTTTCCATTTTTTGAAAAAAGGAATAAACGATTTCAAAGAGGCCAATGATGAAAAGGCTTGGAACTAGGGGATTGGTGTGCTGGGGGGGAAAGCGGTGTTTAGGGTCCTGGTCCTGTGTGCCTCGGGGTGTCTCTGGCATCGCTGGCCCGTTAGACCATGGTGTTTAGGGGCGTCCCGAGATGCCCCTACGTCTCATGGAGGCCCCATCCACGATGGGGCATATGTCTCACGTAACCAGGCGTCCCTTGATGGTGTGTGGGAAGCGGAAGAGCCATCACTCTGCCTGCAGGCCTTCGTGCCAACATCTTTTTCCTTCGCCTGCTCTCACTAAACACAGGCCTTCCTGGACAGGTCAGGGCCAGGTGCTTACCTATGGGTCCTTTGGGAGAGAGGAGGAGAGGCCACACTTGCCTTTAGCAGTGAGACAGGGCCCTCTGGCCACTAGGGCAGGTGGTACCACCCACCACCTCGAGGGCCCTCCCAGGACTGGACCAGGGGCTGCAGTGAAAGGCACTGGAACCCTTTGTCCCCTCCCCCCACGAGCAAGTTGCTCAGAACTTCTTCAAGTCCCTCTGGAGGAAGGGAAGCCCTTTAGGGCAGGGACCAGTCGCCATCACAGCATAGACAGCTGCCCCCCAAGCAGCTCTGGGAGGGTAGGCACCGCTGGCCAGACCGCCCAAGGTTGCTGAGTTCCTGGCTCCGCAGGCAGGCTCGCAACCCTTGGTGTCTCCAGGGCCCGCTCCCAGGGCATTCATAGGCCCCTGAACGTGGACAGCATCTCCTCGTTTCTTCTTGCCCGGCCTGCCTGCATTGGCAAGCAGAATAGTCTGCATTGTATGGGTTTTTTTAATGTTCTGGGCATTTCAGAGCCCTTGGAGAATTCAAAGGCTGTGGGCCTCTCTCCTTGAACTTGTACAGCATATACGCTTGTGCACCCCGGCCTTGGCGCCCCTGGCCTCCTCCACACCATCACGTGACGGGATCAGGGGAGGTGCCCTCTCTGAGCCGGGGGTGTTTTTGTTCTTTCAATATACTCGGTGCAATATGATTTCACAATCTAATGCCTCGTGAGAGCTGCTTCCCTCGGCCCCATTTTGCTTTTTAGCGTGAGTCCCTGTTTTAGTCGCGAAATTATTTCAGTTGTGAACTCGTCCTTGGCCTCCCAGCCATAGGAGTGAATCATCTGTTATCTCAAGCCTCAGGTGCTCACAGCGTGCTTAGTGATGTGCTTAGTGGTGGCTGTATATTCTGCGTTTCTTCCGTTTACACAGCAAAGGAGAATGTGTACAGTGATGGCTTCAAGGCAGACCCCGGGTCAGAGTCTAACCAGAGAATCTGTATCCAAACCGTTGCCCAGGGGCCACCCCGCACCTTCTCCTTCCCTCCCTGACTCTCCTGCTCGTCCCAAGGGGTTGCACCCGATGACTCTCCTGGGCCTGTTCATTGGAGTCGTTTCTACCTGATTTGTGGAGTTCCGTTTAGAATTCTTTGTGAGTCCGTCGTTGGGAACGTAGCGGCTGCTGCAGAATCATAGTTGACTGTTAGATGGCAGTAATATGGGCAGCCTTATCTGAAATATCCCGCAGTTTGTGAGTGTGACTTAGGCCAGAACCTGCGAGGGCGGCCTGAATTCCCTGGTGCTCAGGACTGGATGGAGCCATGGACACGCGTCACAGCAGCTGTGGAAAGGAGGAGGAACTGGGGTCCAGAGAGAGCCTGCCCCAGCTCGTGCTGTGTGGCCTCTCACTGCACCCCCACAAGTCCTTGGCCCTGCTTTGTGTCCATGGGCTGAGCATCTCCTGCCCGTCACTGGACAGCTGGCACGGTGTTAATTATTGCCCCCAAAGTAGCACTGTCCTCTGGGACCATTGGGCTTTCATCGCCTCCCCCTGGTGGCCAATGGTGGTTCCGTGTTATCTGGGCTTTGGACCAGAGCTGAGCTCCTGAGCCCCATTCCCCAGCCAGGCTGCCCTCCCTCACCACCCCCCCCCCCCTCT